AGTGTATTTGATAGAATGAGAATTTGACTTTAGTTGTTGAGTGAAATGAATGAGAAATTAGCAGAAGAGAACACTTTTGGTGATAAAAGCTATGAGAGCGATTACAACAGCAACAAAAAGAATGAAAACCCTGTTAGACCCGGACGAGCTAATGGTACTCAGAAAATAGGATAAAGAACGATGTTCACATCAACTAACCGCATTCAAATGCCAGAGTTAAAAAGCACCATCACAATGTCGTTCCATCATAACATAATAACTGCATGAAATACCAATTTCCCGACCCCTTCTATTACCCCTTGACACCTCCAGATTACCCAAAATGGGTAACTTCATCTCCTATGAGAACCACTGATCTATCGTCAGCAAACTGTATTTTCAAGTTACATTTGACAGACACTAATTGCAAGAGTGCTGACAATGGTCATGAGAATTTTAAAAGTAACAAACTTCATTAGTTCGATTCAATCGAATTTTTGCGAAAATTCAGTTAGAATTTGCTTTCGGCTCTTTTTGCATCGTATAGCAAAGTGTCTTGATAGATCATTTGAATGAGCAGTACTAAGCTAAAGCTAAAAAAGAAAACATCCAGGAATACGCCAGCGTATAAATAGAATTTGTGGAAATGATTACGATTCTTGATCACATATTGCAGCATCCACAATATTACACCTAATCGAAAAACGACCGTCCTGAATTGGAAAAGAATTTTAAATGATGAGTTTAAATGATGGTAAACGTAAGATTTTAATCTGCTGTTGAAAATTCTTTCACTCATTCAGTGCATTAATATCTTTATCACTAGATTGATTTTTAATGATTGATGCATGGTGTCACAATAAATGCCCTGCCTGAAGCAGCGGATATATTTTTAATTTTAATGCATTAATTTTCCTAATCCTTTATGTCATTCGCACGCAACTAATTCAATAGCATTTAATTATTATAGCGTAAAATCTTTCACACTTCTTCGTTGAATGACAACGTAAGATAGATGAATATTGTTCACATTCTTTGTTACTGAATTGATTTTTCAATTCTCAGCTCACAATTATAACAATCAAGAAATGAAATCTATAGATACGAAACAATTGTTCAGTCAAACAACTAAAGGTTTTCTCATTAAACGAAGTGGTAATTAATGCGATGTTCACACCGTATGACTGAACAATCAAATGAAAATTAATTAACATGCGAACAGCTGAATGTATAGCCACTCAATATTATGTTCAAATACCAAACAATATATATAAAGTATTAAAACAATGAAAGATAATCAACTTACGTCGCAATGCTGAAAATTCTCCCAATACGATATAAAATGGGATGCTTTGTGTATAATTTAGAAATCTCCAGTATTGTACGTATGTGTATAAATACACTGAAAAATGAAAAGTGGCATTAGAGGTTCATTCGAAGTACCGAAAAACAGTGTTGATCATATTCAGCATTGTAAATAACATTAAACATGGAATGAAACGCATGAAATTCGGTCTACAAACCTGCTAACTTCGACAAGTAATGCCCAATACGCATAAGGAAGAAATTTATGGGAGAGCATACCGATGGCAAATGCTGAAAGGATGGCCACATGATGAAAAACTATACTGATTGCACCTTTTGAGCGTTTTTCAGTGTTATTGATTATATCAAGTGTGTCATGACAAAAATAACCTGAAATCATCCCGATTTTAAGACGAAAATTCTCATTTGAAGCTTTAATATTGCCTACTGGAAAACAGGACTTTTTTTGTGACGGTATTTACTTCATTCAGTGAGAAAAGTGGTGTTCTTTACGAGTAGAGTGTTTCTTGAGGTCTGAAAAGAATAACGGTGAATCTCCGAAATAATCTCACATAGCTTCGGTTCAAAATGCAATTATGAAGAAGCTGGAATCTGAAGAGTAAGGAATTCGGAGGAATTCAAAATGGAATCGATCGCCTAATTCGAAGATCGAGTTTTTGGAATAAATACTGCTGATCGAATAGATCAAATGAAATGAAGTGTTCGTTACCCATTGAGAGCAATGGTAATTGCGCAGCCCATTGGCTATACCAGTTAACAGTATCATTGAACATTATATCAGCATTGAAAATCATGAATGCTAGAGCACATCCGCCACTTAATGTGGAATGTATCAAGGAGACACTCAAATTCTGCAAACGAAACCGCCTAAAATATGACAAATATTGCTATTATGTTAACAATTACATTTGTCATCTTACCATTGCTATTGCATGTGAATCTTAATGTAACCATATCATAATGATATTATTGCAGCCTCTCAAAATTCGCCTATTGCAACGGTAAAAGTTAACACCCAACGTTCTCATCAAATCATCCAAAATAATTATTGCTTTTGATAATGTTTATCTCAAATTCAGAACTTTATCGTTGGTATCATCATCATTTGCAGTATGAATTTTACGATTATC